TTAATAATTGCTTTAGTCAAGAATCTAATATATCATAAAGGTCGAAGTATATTGATATGATATTTTACTTTATAAGAGAATAGTGAAGTTAAATAAGCATTGAATATACTCTCAAAACTCTTCAAATTTAAAATATTTTAATAATTTGATAAGTCAGATAAAACAAGTTTAGGAGAGAGACTATTAGAATTAAATTTGTCTATCCTTTCAAAGCACCAAGAAAAAAATTATTATATCAAAAAGTAAAACACATTAAAAACTCTATAGTTGAATGAATCAAATTAACCATTAGTTCTTGAAAATTTAAAAAAAAAGATTCATATTAAATATATTAAATTTATTATATCCGATAAGACTACATAAGACTTCGTGTGTTATGTCATAAGAGGTATCGATTTAGAGTTATATAGTAAAATTATTTTGAGTATAAAAAGATTATATTATCTTATCTGTGTGCTTCATCTCTTCTATCTATCCATTCAATATGATATATTGATATAAGACTTAATTGGAAAGTAACATGTTTTACTCGATTTTATCGAGCAGTTCATTCGGATTGGGAATTCTTCGTAAACGTCGCAAACGATGCAATCCAATAACAAAACCAGTACAAGCTGAGCTGGATATGGATCATTCTGGAAGCCTGCCATGATCGTCTCGTACATGCCGAAGCCACCTTATTAACGTGATGAACATTCTTCTGACCAAGTCAAGCAGCCCCACGTTGCAAATGATGCAATCCAATGACAAAACCAGTACAAGCTGAGCTGGATATTAATCATCCTGGAAGCCTGCCATGATCGTCTCGTACGTGCCGAAGCCACCTTATTAACGTGATGAACGTTCTGGCCATATCATCATTTTGTCCATTTATTTCACGAGTGAATCAAGATGATTTGGATGGTTTGCCGTGTGGAAGTACTTGTGGTCTTTGTCTCTTTCTAATAAGTACTTGTGGTCTTTGCCAAGGAAAAGAAAGGTTGACAAACAAGTCTTTGTCTCTTTCTAATAACCAAGGAAAAGAAAGGTTGACCAACAACACTTGGCATACTTCCTCGTTTCTTCCTTTGATTTGTACGTAAGATCTGAAGTGAAGCTCAATCTTTGCACTATAAAAAGCCCCAAGTAGCTCCATTTCTTTTCATCGAACTCAAGAAGCAAAGTTCAACCAAAGCATCGCATCCGTCTTCTCAGAAAATAAATCTTTTGTTAGAAATGGCCATTCCAGTCATTGATTTCTCAAAGTTGAAGGGCAAGCAAAGAGCCGAAACTTTGGCACAGATTGCCAATGGATGTGAAGAATGGGGATTCTTTCAGGTCTGTTGTCATGGAGGATGTGCTTTCAAGTTCCCGATCTTCTTCCTTTCTCCCGTCCATGGTTCTTCCGAACATGATGCTGGTACTTATTCCAAGTAATCTAATGTGCTTGCAGCTGGTGAACCATGGGATTCCGGTGGAGCTTCTGGATCGCGTGAAGAAGGTATGCTCGGAGTGCTATCGGCTCAGAGCGAAGGGCTTCAAGGGATCCAAACCAGTGCAGCTGTTGAACAAACTGGTGGAAAAAGAAGGGGAAGAGGCCGATGTTAAGCGCTTGGATAACGTGGACTGGGAGGATGTTTTCCTTCTCCAGGACGACAACGAATGGCCGTCCAACCCTCCGGAGTTCAGGTACTTCATTCACGAAGCTCCGATGCTGCTTGTTCCATTCCCTGTTCCACATAAACGAATGAACAACATTAGAAAGTCAATTATAATCACTGCTGAATAGCTAGCTGCCCCAGCGCAAGAATTGGATTGTGGATCTTTGATTTGCTACTCATAATATGACGGTTGTCGCCAAAGTTGTTGACGTTTGCTCTCTTCATGCAGCGAGATCATGAAGGAGTACAGGGAAGAGCTGAGGAAGCTGGCTGAGAAAGTGATGGAAGTAATGGATGAGAATATGGGGTTTGAGAATGGCTACATCAAGAAAGTATTCTCAGGAAACGGTGAGCACCAGCCCTTCTTCGGCACCAAGGTGAGCCACTATCCGCCATGCCCGCGCCTGGACCTCGTAAACGGCCTTCGCGCCCACACCGATGCTGGCGGTGTCATCCTCCTCTTCCAGGACGACCAAGTTGGTGGCCTCCAGATCCTAAAAGATGGGAAGTGGATCGATGTGCAGCCTGTGGCCAATGCCATCGTCATCAACACCGGAGACCAGATCGAAGTACTCAGCAACGGTCGCTACAAGAGCGTGTGGCACCGCGTGCTCACGACCAGCGATGGCAACCGCCGCTCCATTGCTTCGTTCTACAACCCCTCCTTGAAGGCCACCATCACTCCGGGAATCAGCAACGACGACGCTCCAGCTTTGTACCCCAAGTTTGTTTTCGGGGATTACATGGAGGTGTACGTGAAGCAGAAGTTCACGGCCAAAGAGCCCAGGTTTGATGCAGTGAGAGCTATGTAAGGATAAGTTAATGATTATCGAAGTTATGTTCTGAGAATATTCTTTTGTATCAGATTTGTTTGTACCATAATAATTGTTTGCTATGACAAGTAATTTATATAAAACCAGCAGCCCAACGTATTTTTTGAAACCTCACGAGATGGCAACTATCATGGAGAAAGGCCAATTAGTTCTCCGATTACGAGGGGTTTTGATGAGTGGCGTGACACTTCACAAATCATGTTTGGAAAAATTAAAAATCACACACGTTTCTTGGTATAGCCATTTTCAAAATAAATAGAAATAAAAACACATTCTTAAAAATATATAGTTTGATGTAGATATTTGTCATATCTTTATTTAGAAATTTTGCCACGTTTATTGTGTCAACTTCATTATCAACTATATTCTCAGTCTCTTGACAGAAGTTTTTCAATCATTTTGATTATTTTGGGATTCGTAAGTAAGAACAGGAGAAAAACATAAAAATAAGATAGGGAGACATACTAATTTTATAGTGGTTCAATATTTTTGATCTACGATCCATTCTTATTTTATCTATCTACGAGGCCATTGACGTTCACGGTAATTTTTTTCTCCAAAGTTTGAAGATCAACAATCCTCTACAACTTTCTTTTATCAAAGCATTGGT